TGAGTGGAGAGAGAGAGAGAGATACCCTTGACCAGGATTGAAAGTGAAGGACATGCAAACCAAGTAGAACCACTCTGTATCAGTGAGATCTTCCGGAGAGAGAGCAGCACAAGGCCTTCGAGCCTGCTGACTACTCTCACCCATCGAGAGCGACGCGTAAAGCTCCCGCAACTGAAGGCTTCTCTGTAAACCCATCTCTTCAGGGGTAAGCTCCATTGGTTGAACAGTCTTCCTTGTCTTAATATCACCATTGTAGTACCCATCACCCCATTCCAAAACCCTACAAGAACCCCAATTCTCTTCTCTTAAAAAGCTACAAAAACCCAATTCAAAATAGCATTTCTAGTACTTTAATAGAAAGAAATTGATCAGAACTTGCAATGAAAACTTTTCTGTTCTCCATCATGGTTTAAGTCCAAATACCCATTTCATTCAAATGAAAAACTATAAATGGCAATTGCATCTCTCACTTAGGAGCAGGAAATTCAGTCCAGAATTGTTGTGAAAAAGAATGATATGAAGAAAGAGCGAGAGACAGTTTGGCCAGAGCCCAAACTCAAAATCACAAATTTAACTTTTTAAGTTCTATTCAGGAACAGAGATAGAGAAAGAGAGTGTATGTGCCGGAGCCCAAAAGAACCATAGCCAAGAGAGAGAGAGATCATATGCACATTGCCTAAATTTCAAACTATTCCTTTTACAAAAGGAAATTGGATTGATCGGGCTGCAGCCCCATCAAAATAAGTAAATCCTCACCTCATAGCTCATTTAAAATTGCAATTCAAGCATTACAACAAATTTACATCAATCATCTCTGCTTGAAAATGGTCCCGCAAAAAAAAAAAAAATTTCAAATTCTAATAAATTGTATTTTATAACAAATTATTTAAACGGTCCATTTCACCCTAAAATAAGTGTCCACATTTCTACTATACCAGTTTTTTAATTTCAAATTTTATTGTCGATGTTGAAAATCGATTTCTAAGCCATCATGAAAATTTCTTGCTGAAAGTACTTTCCAGACAAAATTTGAGGTGAGGGCTTATTTTGTTTTCATAAAGCCCACGCCTTACAGAAACTTCATCCTTTACAAAAAGGTAACCGTAGAAATGCATTGGAGAGAAAAAGTAATGGCTGCAACTTGATAAACTAAAGCAGTAAAAAAAACTACAGAGGTAAAGCATAGGACTTTTTCATTACCCCTGGTGTTGAGAAGAGAGTGTCCAAAAGATACCATAACTCCATTGAAGGCCCTGAACAGCTGATCCAAGCCGTCTTCTAAGGAGGTTTACTTGAACTCCTCGCTGGTTTTGGAGCCCAGAAGCCATAGCCCAAAAACATTAAACCCTTCTCTCCTTTTTCTTCACAAAAAAGGACTAAAACCCAGATCCAACAATAACGCCATTATTGTTTTCTGAAGGTTTGAGTTTCCGATGGAGGTTTTCTCAAACTTTTATCTGGTTTTGAACTAATAAATGCCATGACCAAAATCCCAATTTTCTCTCTAGGAAACAAGACTTCCAATCCTGGAGAAACAATAATAGCTTCTCTCAAAATTGGTTTTCTGGGTTTTTCTCAAAAGCCATGAAAGAATCTAAATCTTGGTTTTTACTGAGTAATGAGGAAGCTCAACAGGCAAAGCTCTGGATTTTAGTCAGAGAAACTGATTTTTAGAAGCAGAAACAGTACAACAAGCATTCTCCAGCGGTCCTGAAATTTATTGTTAGGGAGATACAAGTCAAAAGCTGGGCCTGCCATATTTTCTAAGATAAATAGGAACCATTAAAGCTCAGAAAACAAGTAACAGATACAAGATATATAGAAAATATAAAAGTGAAGCTATGTTTAAAGAGGTTTTCTGGTAATTCTCACTGGTTTTCAAGAACATATGCAGTAGCTCAAAACCCAATAGTTCAATAATTTTGGTTCCATATTCTATCAGAAGCAAAAATTAGCGGTTTTCTGGTTCTTCTTCCTGGTTCTGGACCAAGAAAACAAAACCCAAAACATACACGTTTTCTCTAATGCTTGACAAACTTCTCTTACTTTCAAAAGTTAAAGAGTTTCAAAAAATTGGTTTCCTTTTTCCTTGTTCTGGACTTTAAAGGCCCAATCCCATCACCAGAAAGATCAACTTACTCTTGAAATGACAGAAATCCAGTCATGCAAAACCACATTAATTGTTTTCTCAAGCGGTTTCTAGTTATTCGTATTCATCCATAGATTTAGAGGACTCCAAATCAAAACTCAAAACTCCTATCTCTAAATATAACATGAAAACCACTCATACAAATACATATCTGAGTTCTACCCATTTCTTGAACGTGATTTTTTCTGGTTTTCTTTGAATTCTTCATGGTGTTTTACATTGAAAAACAAAACCCAACTAGGAAAATCCCATTTTTCACTGAGCTTAACAGAAAACAACCCATGAAAGCTCAATTTTAGCCTGTTTTCAAAGAGATTTTCTAGCATAGATCCATGGTTTCAAGACCAGTAAACCAGTTTTACAAATAAATGAACCAACGATACCGAAAAGAAAGTGAGAGACACCTCATGTTCTAATGTTCTCCTTCTGGTTTTTGGAGAACCACGAATTACAGGCGAAGCGGCGAAAACCTGGTTGTTCTTTGGTACAGAGAAGCATGGTTCTTGAGAACGGAGGTTCCTCGTAAGTAGTTTAATGGCGGTTTTTATATCTTTTTGGTAGTCAGAAAAGCTTTAGGGCCTTAGACCGTGAGTAAAGTAAAGGCCAAGAGTTGCAGAGGAGTACAGTGTACTTTGCCAGACAGCAAGAGAGAGAAAGAGGTAGCTCTGATGGGAAGAGAGAAAGAAGTGTAACTCTGGCTTGGAGAGAGAGAGAGCTTCGAGGTCTAGAGAGACAGTGCGAGTTCAGAGAGAGAAAGAGGAGAGAGAGGTTAGAGTTCTGCTAAGAGTGACAAACAGTTGTATTGGCTGGAAGGAGAGCTCAGAGTGCTTAGAGAGAGAATTCTGTGTTCTAGAGAGAGAAAGAGCACTGTGTTCTAGAGAGAGAAAGCGGTCTGATTTCTACAGAGAGAGGAGGGAAGAAAAAGGTCGTAAATGTTTTGCAAAACGCAACGAGGTTTTAAAGAGCAAGGATGCAATCGGCTTGACTCAGCTCGGCTTGGGCTTAGTATGGCTTGGTTACTAGGTGAAAATGACTTAAATACCCTCAATGCGTCTTCAATTATAATTCCTATCGAAATATAAAATCCACGTGCTGCAATTTTTGTTTTTTTAGAGCCAGGGAATTAAGCCACGTGTTTTAATCAAAATTTTAATCTGCCCTATACTGTCATGACACCCGTTAGAAAAGGCCACAAGGGTAAAAATGAGAGGGTGCAGTGTGTACAGAGCGGACAGTCTCGATCCGTGGTTTAAGAAGTGAATCGACGCTTCGATTGAGCATCCCAATAACCCATTTGAATCGATGAATTGACGATACAATTTGGAAATCGATCCAATTTGTACGATTCAATTTAAAAAAATTATTAAATTTTATTATAAATATTATTTTTTAATGATTCAATAAAAAATAAAAGTACTCCATCGAAAGCTTTTTTTTTTTTTTTTTTTTGTCATCAATATGAGAATATAGAGATGTTTTTTTTCTAATGAATTACTATTAACTATTAAATTTGCATCTTATAAAAGATAAAGTACAAAATTATGATGGATAAAGTATAAATCTCGAAAAATAGTGTTATTTTAGTTTCTAAACATAATTAGGAGTGAAATTATATATTTTCATTATTTTGTAAAAATAGTTGAATACTGATATGTTCTTTTTGTTTGGATGTCTATATAATTATTAATTATAATATAGTATTATAATATTATAAAAATAATAAATTTTCATATAAAGTGAAATTAGAATCATCTCAAAATATTAAATATTTATTAATTCACTTTACTCATCCAAAATTATCACAACCTAACTAACTATAATATTATATAATGAAATTAAACTTGTTGGTTTATATTTTATAATTATTTTACTATACAAATAAGAACAAATCTAAAATATCTTAAAATATCATCTAATCTAAAAAATTTATTTACAACTATAAGAAAAATAATACATTATATAATTTATAATGTAAATAAAATAATAAATAAAATACAATATTTGGTTATCAATGTATAATTATTAATTATAATATTCTAGTAAACATGATAAAAAATTATTAGAAAATACTTCCATATCATATGATTAAAAATAAAAATAAAACCCCAATAAATTCTAATGCTGTGATATTAAAAAAAAATTAAAAAAAGTATCCAAAAATTAAAAATAAAGATATCAAAATTAAAAAAATGCCTACCGATAACATGTACAATAGTTACAAAAAAAATAAAAAATAAAAAATAAAAATGAAAAGAAATCTACCAAAAAAACCATTTTACTAATAAATAACAAAAAATTTTATATGCCAGTTTTTTAATGTGGCAATCTAATTAAATCATGTAATTAAAAAAAATATGTTGATGAGGCTCATTGCATACGACACACTAAATTAATTGACACGCTCGTTAATATGATTAAATTAATTGACATGCTCATTAATTAATTATTTATAATAGGATTAAAAAATAAAACCCCTTATACATTTTTATATTATGACATTAAAAAAGAATTCAAAAAAACATTTACCTTGAAAATTGAAAAAAAAAATATTAAAATTCAAAAAAAAGAAAAAATGGCATGTTCAATCCCCTAAGTTGCCCCACTCAATTTATTGTAGTAAAAAAAATAAAAATAAAAAATAAAAAAATAGCATAGAGTAGAAAAACAAGCTAAAGAGAGAAAACTATTTTGTAGCATATCATGTGGTTATGGACCATCAAAATGAGCCGTGTATTAAATACACACTCCCTGTTTACACTTCCAAATTCTTGACGACTTTGGTAAACCTCTTATTTAAATTCAAATAGGGAGGTAAATTTGGTATTTTGGGGCCAAGCGTGACTCAACGATTCTCCCTATCATTCAAGTTGAAATTATCCCACATCTGATGATGGGAGGGTACAGTGCCCTATAAAAGCCATGAGCTTTAGAGTACAACTATTGGATTGTTGAATTTAAGGGGAGACCGACGGCAATTGCTGTTAGACCAACATTTCAGGTGCCGTGCTCATAAGGGGTTGGATATAGGGTCCTAATGGTCCCCCCAACCTTGCCGATACATGGCGAGGGAGGGTAAAATGCGGCAGGTGCCGTGCTCATACGGGTTGGGTATAGGGTCCTAATGATCCCCTGACCCATGGGGGGGTTTGGGTATAGGGTCCCAAATTGCCGGTACATGGGGAGGGTAAAATGTGGCGCGTGTGATAGGGGAGCAAATTGAAGTTTTTGGGGAGTGGGTATAGGGTCCCCTGCCTGACCCATGGGGTGGGTGGGTATAGGGTCCCAACCTGCCGGTACATGGGTAGGGTAAAATGTGGCAGGTGCGTCCCCTGACCCATGGCGCGTGTGATAGGAGCAAATTGCAGTTTTGGGTCATACCAAAATAGTTTTTATTATAAATTAATACGAAAAAAATTCGGTTCTTAGGGATCCCCGAATATTCACTCCCCAATATTTCTCTTTCCCTTATATTTATCAATATTCTCATACATATATTAAGAGAGAGCACAGTCTCCCTTTCTCAAAATCTCTCTTTCTCATATCTATCAATATTATCGTTTAAAATCTATTGTTATTATATCTTTCCTCAAATACCTCTTCCCCTTATTTCTCTTTTCCTTGTATTTATCAATATTCTCATACTCTATATTAAGAGAGAGCAATACCCTCTCTATTCTATATATTAAGGGAGAGTCATGCCCTCTCTATTCTTGCGCTAGGTGTTCTCTCTTTCTTACAATCTCTCTTCCGCTAGGTGTCTTTCTCTCTTTCTTACAATCTCTCTTCTTTTGTTTCCCTACCTACAGTTTCTACCCATGTAGGATTTTTTCAAGTCTCTCTTTCCTAAAATCTCTCTGCCTTGTATTTATCAACATTTTCATTTAAAATCTACTATTATTATATCTTTTTTCAAATATCTCTCCCCTATATTTCTCTCTCCCTTATATTTATCATTATTCTCATTTAAAATCTCCATCTTTCCTCAGGTTTCTCTCTCTCCCTCTTACTTAAAGTCTCTCTCCCTCTAAAACTCTCTCCCAATATTCGTTCGGTCTCTCCCTCCAATGATTTTGTCTCTCTTCTCTTTCAAGCGTTTCTCATGTTAACTCTTTACTTTTCAATGTAGTATTTATTAGTTATTTATATAATTATTACGTATCTATTAAATTCTCTCACTATTTATTCTTTCTATTTCTCTAACTCTCCCCTCTCAACAAACTCTATCTCCTCTCATTTATTTTAATGTGGTCTTTCTCTTCCTTGTGATAGCCTTAAAATATATTTTTATTTTTAATTATAGAATTTAAAGCTTCAAAAATAGTGTTGTAGATCGAGCAGATATTTGAAATCTTGAAAATCTTGAAAATTGACGGTCCAAAAATGTATTACAAAATGCACTATTTTCAAAACTTGAAATCCATTTTTTCTCATATCCATGCATCTTGATATCAAGATGATCAATTTGAAGGTATTTGCGTATCAAAACAACCTCTTCTAGTGATATTTTTTAGGTGGGCTTTAATTTGATTGTTTAGAGCCTCGGCTCTATATAAACTTTTTCCAATTCTAAATACTTGGTGGCAGGTTTGATAACTGGAAGTTCTAACTTTAGAAGCTAGTACTTCAATGAACTGTAGGACTTCCTAACAGAAAGTGTTACATGAAACTGGTTTTAGGAAGTTTTGGGTTCTCAAGACTTCCCATCTTTGCAAAAGGAAGTTTTGGGTTCTCAAAATCCACACGTGTAAGATAATCTAGGATTCGTCTTGATTAGTCCCATCTTTGCAAATCATGGACAAACCTTTCCTGAATATCAATAGCATTTCATTAGCTATAATTCAAATTGGAGTTAAATAATAAGAAACCAACAAAACTTTCATGACCATTTTCCTTGTACAAGAAACTATGGGGTTTACTCATTATCGAGTAGAATCCAAAAGAAATCGAAAATAATTTTAAATGTATAAATTAATGTTCAAGAAACCGATATCAATGTGTTATGCGCCTGGGCCCAAACTGATTAAAAAGGAAAAATAAATTATAATTAAGAGTAATGATTCTATGAGACCATACCACACCTACGTGTGCAAGACCTCAAAGGATCATCATTAAATTTGACACAGATATCTAAAAAAGTTATCACATGGGTGTGGGACTTGATTTATCTATAGATCAGTGCCAAATTTCATGGTAATCCTTTAGGGTCCTATACACATGAGTGTGGGAGGGTCTCACAAACTCCTTTCCCTATAATTATTTGGCTGAAAGTATTTCGAAATATTGGATATCAAGGATTTTATTATTGGACATGGTGGTTGAATAAATTCTTCATTACTACTATATTAGAAAAATATTGGCACCAAATTGGATGTGAGAGCAATTGTTTAAGAAAAGTAGG